ATATAACATATAATATGCAAAATATGTGTTAATCTACTGTCTATATTATGGGTAAGACTTCCAGTCAACATTAGGCTATTAGTAGTTAAGTTTTGGGCAGTCAAAAGTTATATATATATATATATATATATATATATATATATATATATATATACACTAGAGGCTTGGTGCATGAAATTTGTGCATGGGGAGGTATGTCCCTTAGCCTGGCCTGCACTCTCTCCAATCCAGAACCCATTGGGAGATGTCTGACTGCTGGTTTAGGCCTGATCCCAGCAGTTGGACATCCCTTTCGAAATCTTGGACTGCTGGCTCCTAATCACTCGCCTGCCTGCCTGCCTGCCTGATTGCCCTTAACCATCTCTGCCTGCTGGTCTGATGCCCCTAACTGTCCCCTGCTGGCCTGATCACTCCCCAACTTCTCTCCTGCAAGCCTCATTGCCCCCAAATTGCTCGCCTCTGCCAACCTGATTGCCCTTAATCACTTCTGCCTAGGCCCCTGCCAATGTGGCTTTGTCTGGAGAATGTCTGGAAGATTTTTGGTCTAATTAGCATATTACCCTTTTATTAGAATATATATTTTAGACTATGTGGGTGCTTGGGATACTAATCTTGCATTGTTTAAAGGTCAGCTGTATACTGAACTCAATGGTGAAATGAATGATATTATTATTCTTTTCATACCCAGTATAAATTACTACTCATCTTAGGTAAGTCATCAACTTAAAAAAAAAATTTCTTTAACAGAGGTGCTTAATCATAAGCCATGGAGAGAAGAGTTGATTCACACAAGTTACTCAAATAAAATTACAAATCCTTGAATTTGTATAATATCTTTTTGCATTTTCAAAAGTAGTCACATTGGGGAAAAAAAAAAAAAAATATATATATATATATATATATATATATATATATATATATATATATATATATATTGATTTTTACAGAGAGGAAGTGAGAGGGATGGAGAGTTAGAAACACCAATGTGAGAGAAACATTGATCAGCTGCCTCCTGCACATGACCTACTGGGGATGTGCCTGCAACCAAGATACATGCCCTTGACCGGAATCGAACCTGGGACCCTTCAGTTTGCAGGCTGACATTCTATCCACTGAGCCAAACCAGTTAAAGCAGTAGTCACATTTTTATAGTAATGTTGATTCTCTTTATTTCCTGATTAAGTACTCCAGGCAGATGTCCTAATTGTCTTGCAGACAGGGAATTACATGGAAGTATACACTTTGGACAGTTATGTGATAAATAGCTAAGTAACAAAAAGAGGCAGGGTTAAGTTGAATTTTCATGAATTTCAGTTGGTGCATTTTCCATCTCCTGCTTTCTATCAATTTTCAAATGAATTGTGGATAGACAAATAAATTCGGTATTTTTTTAAAAAAAGGTAAAATTCCTTTGGAGAGAGTAAATCTAACCTCCATATACTGTTGAGACCCATCAATGGGGCTAAATAAAGTAAAAGCTATTTTGTATTAATCAAATTGGTTTCTTGTAATAGAATCTTGTTTTTCCTAAAAGAGAAATATAAGATTCAGTTGTGATCCTATTGATTTGGGGTTAACAGAGGAATACTGACTTGCTTTGGGGAGGTAATACTCCCCTTTCTGTTTTTCTAGGAATGCTGTCTAACTGGGGGGGGAATGAACCATGTTCAGCAAAGAGCTGGGCAATCAGGGTACCTTTATTCTCATAACTGCCAAATTGATGGCACTGGCATGAAGTGGGGGTATAGGACATGGTAGTGTGTAACTAGCTATATATTATTTTATGTGTTTCTTTTTAACATTTTAAACATTTCTGCTTGTGGTAGTTTCTATACCTATAATCAAGAGCAAATTAATTGTATCTCAACCATTAGTAGCCATTTGGCACTGTTTGTAATAAAGGTAAAAGCTGAATACAAACTAATTTCAAGAGCAAAAGTTGGCATTCATAAAGGATTCTGGTGAAAATTGCCATTGTATAGGTAAGTCTAACTGTCTTTGTTATATTATTTTTTTATTTATTTTTAGGTTTTATTTTATTTATTTATTTTTAAAAATTTAATACATTTTTTATTGTTCAGATTATTACAATTGTTTCTCCCTTTTCCCTCCATCAGCTCTCCTCAACCTGGTTCCCACTCCACCCTCTGCCCTTACTTGCCCCCCCCACTGTCTTCATCTATAGGTTTATGATTATTGTCCAGTCTCTTCCCATACCCCCCATACACTTTCCCCCTGAGAATTATCAATGCCCTCACATTCTATGCACCTGATTCTATTATATTCACCAGTTTATTCTGTTCCTCAGATTTTTAATTCACTTGATTTTTAGATTTACTTGTTGATAGATATATATTTGTTGTTCATAATTTTTATTTTTACTTTTTTCTTCCTCCTCTTCTTAAAGAATACCTTTCAGTATTTCATATTATACTGGTTTGGTGGTAATGAACTCCTTGAGCTTTTTCTTGTCTGTGAAGGTCTTTATCTGAATTTCAATTCTAAATGATAGCTTTTCTGAGTACTCTTGGTTGTAGGTTCTTGCTATTCATCACTTTGAATTTATTGCCACTCCCATCTGGCTTGCATAGTTTCTGTTTAAAAATCAGCTGACAGCCATATGGGTGCTCCATTGTAGGTAACTCACTGTTTTTCTCTTGCTGCTTTTAATATTCTCTCTTTGTCTTTTGCCCTTGGTATTTTAATTATGATGTGTCTTGGTGTGGTCCTCTTTGGATTCCTTTTGTTTGGGGCTCTGTGCACTCCTGGACTTGTAAGTCTATTTTACCAGGTGGGGGAATTTTCTGTCCTTATTTCTTCAAATAGGTTTTCAGTATCTTGCTCTCTCTCTCTTCTTATGGCACCCCCATAATTCTGATATTGGTATGCTTGAAGTTGTCCCAGAGGCTTCTTACACTCTCTTCAACTTTTTGGATTCTTTTTCCTTTCCCAGTTGCGTGTTTTTTGCTTCTTTGTATTTCAAATCTTTGACTTGATTCTAGTGTTCCTCTAGCCAGCTGTTGGGTTTCTGTATAAAATTTTTTTTATTTCAGTCAGTGTATGTTTAATTTCTAGTTTTCCTTTTTCATATCCTTGAGAGTCTCATTGAATTTATCAGCCTTTTCTAGAAAATTCTTGAAAAACCTTATAACCATGGCTTTGAACTCTATATCCAGTTGTTTGTTTTCCTCCGTTTCTTTCATTTGTGATCTGTTTCCTTGTCTCCTCATTTTTACTGCTTCCCTGAGTTGGTAGGGTGGCTTTGTGTGCTATGTGTCCTACCGTATTTTCTGGCGTATAAGTCGACCCCCCTAAATTTACAGTTAAAACATAGGTTTAGGCCTATGTTCGCTGTATAAGACTACCCCCCACTTCTGAGGCAACACCAGTTCTTTTTTTAATAGACCGCCTCTCTGACTCTGGCCAATCTGAGCAGGCTTTCTTTAGTTTCAAATGTTGTCTTATACGCCGGAAAATACGGTATATGGCTCAATGGATCAGCCTCCTAGTTACCTGAGGTGGACACTCTTGGGACATCTCTTTATGGACTGTGTGTACAGCCTTGTTGTAGTTAAGTTTTGATTGTTGTTGGTGTCAGTGGGAGGAATCGACCTCCAGGCCAATTGGCTGTGAGGACCTGCTGTGTCTATAATGGAAGAATTGCTGTGCTGGATACAAGCTTATGGGGCAGGATTTGTTTCAGTGGGGCTTTGGTGCTCACTGAGTCTGCCTCTTGAATGTGTCCCTTATGACAGTAGTTGAAATCTGGTGTTGTCTCACACAGACCACTAGATATACTAGCTTCTAGATTTCCATTGGGGTGCAGGACAGCTACTGTCTGAGGCCACTCAGCAGGTGCTACAGGGAGAACTTCAGTTTTCTTCTGTTTGCTTGGGGTTTGGAGGTTTTGGAACTGTCTGACCAGAGCTGTAGTTTGTTTGGTTAAGTTGTGATAGGGCAGGCCATTTATATTCAAATGCCATTGCATGGAGCTTGAGTGGGTTTGTAGATTGTGCAGGGCAGCATCTCAGGGAGTCACTAGGCTAGGGTGTGGCAAACAGCGATGATTGCCAGTCAGCCTTCTCTGGGTCTCAGAGTTTCCAAGTCCCCATGTCCACGTCCCAATTCAGTAAACAATGATTGCTGTGGGCACCTCTACAAGAAAGTCACCTTTAATTTCTGACCTGATGGCTGACAATCCAGCTTCTCCCTGTAGGTGTTTGGGTCCTCAGGGTCTCCCCAGAAACTGGATTTCAGAGTAATCGGGAGCGTGTCTCCCTTGGGGTTGAAAAAAAGCAGCACATCCAATTGTGTGTCACCAGCCTAATTTCGCATGCCTCTGCCTCCATACCTCAGGTTTTCAGTGCTGTGCATGTCTCAATGCTCTTTTCTCTCTCCTAATTGTAGAACTTCTACTCAGCCAGCTTTCCTGTGGTCCTGGGTAATAGACATTTTGTCTTTAAGTTGTAGTTGAAATTGTTATGCAAGGCAGCAGTTTAGGTATTTATCTATGCTGCTATCTTTGTTTCTCCCCTGGTATATTATTTTAAATGACTGTCTATAAAATAATTTTATGATTCAATTTGAAGGTCTTAATATATAGATTTTAAAATACACTATGCAATTAGGTTATACTTCAGAATTCATGATAGGAGACAAGATTTTTTTTAGTTACACCTTTTGGGGAAATGTTAATTTGGGTGATAATCATATCCATCTTAAATCATTTGCATGTTATGTTCTTTCTAGGTTATTATCAGGAAAAAAATTAAAACCTATAAACTTCCATAAGGTTTAAACATATAACAGACTTAATTAAAAAAAACACCCATAATTGAATTTTAAGTCACAGACCAACATAAGACAAGATCAAGCTATCATTTAATACTACCTTCACAAAGATTCTTAGCATTCCACCTTAAAAATCAAACTGAGCAGAGGAGAAAGCCAGTCCCATCAAGCCCTTAGGAGGAGAGTCTTTTTTTCTTCTTCCTCCACTCTCAGGAATTGCCTGACCATCTTGAGAAGTCCAGCATAAACTAATCCATGAGGTTCAATCAGGCTAAGTAATTGGGGATGTGTCAATTCTGAATTACAATGAGCAGCAGGGAAGGATTTGTCAGCTGACTAATCAGGGATAGTGGTTTTCTTATAGTGCTGCCACGGTAGTAATGGAAGCAGCTACAGCTAACGGTAGCTTTGTTTGATAGAGATTTTTGGCTGCCGCTTTTCAATACTACCCAAGAAGCAGCTCATATTTCATCAATGCTTCATTGACAATTGGAAAAGAAGAGTGTTGTTGTGTATAGACGAGATGGCAGAAGCAACTCCCCCGAGAGGCAAGATGAGGTTCAGAAGGAATGCGGTAAGGGCTCTGCCTGCAGTCCTGGAAAGCCTGTTCCCAAGTTCAAGTGCAGGAATGCTGCAGCATGGTGCTATAGCACAAACTGCTGAATGGGGCTTTTAAGGACAGATAAGAGAATCGAGACTTGTATTTGTATGGATTGCATTGATGTGATTTACAGTGATGTTGACATAGGGAAACATAGAATGTAAATTGAAAATCTAAATGTAATCAAGTTTTTATGAGGAAGTACTGTTAGTCATGTTATTTAAGACTGTATAAACAATTTTGAATCATTTGGCAGAGTAGCTTTAGGTCACTAGTTAAAATAACATCTGACAAAAGGATTCAGTCTTTCATCATGGTCAAGTAGAGTATGATATAATGGATAAGGTCTGGAGATAACTTCATCAATATTTAAAAGGAAGCCTTTTCTGGGTGTTACTATATAAGTAAAAAAAATGTAAAGGTTAATGGTTCAGTCTTTCTGATGTTAATACTTCTCCAAATTAAAACTCCAAAGATATAGAATGTTAGCATGTTGACAACTTATTTTTTTAAGGAAAAAAGAGTGACTGACTTTTCATTATAGGCTAGAATTTAGAAATCTCTCCTTGCAGATATGTTTCCAACAATTTTCTACCTAAAATCATACCTTCATTAGCTCACTTGTATACTAAATTCCCAACAAATTTTTAAAGTTATATTTAGATATGTTTGAGGGAAGTGCAAAATAAAGCTAGCTTATTTAACAACTAACTGGCTATCAACAGGGTTTAAATGCCCCTCTATTTCTTTCAAAACTTAAGATAGCATTATTGATATTATTATTTAAAATTTAATCCTTGATCATTAAAAATGCTGAGACAACACACACAAAGAATAAGAAAGTAAAAATCAGACATTAAAAATGACATTTGGAATCAAAAGTAAGACAAGTGAAAAAACAAGTAAGGATTTTGTTACTGATGTGACCATCAGTGGGTGAGTAAATGTGTTATAGTCTAAAAATGCTCTTATCATAGAATGCTATTTTACAACTACAGTTTAGGATATGAATCTTTATTTTAACAAAATTGTATCATCAGCTCTACACATGATTTTGCATTATGGGAATAATAGATTCAGACTTTTAATAGACAATTTATGGTGCACAATAAATGCCTGTATTAGGTGCTTTGCGGTATTGAGTACAACTGACATTAGTACTTTTGTTATCAAAAGTAACTGACTGTTTTCAGAAAGTTCCTACCTAGTTCATTATATATAAACTAGAGGCCCATTACAGGAAGATTCCCTCAAAAATAGGGTTTCCTGCGGCCAGAGAAATAGGGGTTCTCTGCCCCCTCCTCCCATCTGCTTCCACCTGCTTCCCTCCCATCTCTGCCACCCCGCTTGCTTCTTTGCGGCTTCGCTCCCTTCTGCAGTGCTTGGCTTCCTTCTGTGCAGCCTTCAACCTTCACTCCACGCCTGTGTATGCAAATTAACCTCCATCTTTGTTGTGTTAACTTGCATACTCCCTCTGATTGGCTGGTGGGTGTAGCGGAGGGGGCGGTCAATTTGCATATTTCTCTTTTATTAGTGTAGATATATATTCTCAGTGCTGAACTTAGTTTCATATATATATTGATATACATACAAAAAATACAGCACACAAATAATCATTGAAGAGACTTATCTAGTACTGTGTTACACAAAATATAGGTTACAATGGTAAATAAATATGGAGTGGCTACTGAACTGAAAGAGTTATATAGGAGAGTATATATTGTAAAACCTTACCACAGCTTTTTTTATTAACTTATCTGCTGATAGGCTTCTGAGTTGTTTCCAGACCTTGGCTATTGTAAATTATGCTGCTATGAGTATATTCTTTCTGAGTGTAGTTTCTGGTTTCTTTGGATATATTCCTAGAAGTGGGATCACTTGGTCAAAGTGATAGGACATGTTCATACAAACTAATATGAAAGAAATTCTAGTTGATGGGGAAGGCCTCATAAAGGATATGATATTTGGGCCTTATTCAAAAGCATATGTTTTTATACCTTTCTTTGTTTCTTCCATTATTCCCTTTTTAAAAAAACATTTATTGTTTAAAGAGTTACATATTAGTCCTTTTCCTCCATTGACCTCTCCCTGCTCATTCCCACCCCCAGCACATGCCTCACCCCCCTACTGACTTAGTCCATGTGTTATGCTTATATGCATGCATACAAGTCCTTTGGTTGATCTCTGCCCAGTCCCCCCTGACTTCACCCTGAGGTTGGATGGTCTGTTCGATGCTTCTGTGTCTCTGGATCTATTTTAGTTCATCTGTTTATGTTGTTCATGATATTCCACATATGAGTGAGACAATATGATATTTATCTTTCTCTGGCTTATTTCACTTAGTATAATGCTCTCCATGTCCATCCATGCTGTTTCAAATGCTAAGAGTTCTTTCTATTTTTATAGCAGTGTAGTATTCCATTGTGTAGATGTTTAACCATTTTTTAATTCACTCATTTGCTGATGGGCACTTAGGCTGTTTCCAACTCTTAGCAATTGTTAATTATGCTGCTATTAACATAGGGGTACATATGTCCTTTCTGATTGGTGTTTCTGGTTTCTTGGGATATATTCCTAGAAGTGGAATTACTGGGTCGAATGAGAATTCCATTTTTAACTTTTTGAGGAAATCCCATACTGTTCTCCCCAGTGGCTGCACCAGTCTGCATTCCCACCAGCAGTGCATGAGGGTTCCTTTTTCTCTGTGTCTTTGCCAGCACTTGTCGTTTGTTGATTTGTTGATGGTAACCATTCTGATAGGTGTGAGATGATACCTTACTGTTGTTTATTTGCATCTCTCAGATGATTAGTTCATTATTCTCTTAAATGAATTAGTTGAAGAGGTCCCTAACAACAAATATCTTAACATTAAATTTATTAGGTTAAGTCTGAAGCCCAGAATTATAGTGGAAGACATATTTGTTTTGCTTACATGGATAGTGCTTGACCAGAGTGAAAAATCTTAAACTCATCTGGTGACACAATGGTTTAACCTTGGATAATCTCTAGAGTTGGCCTGATTCTGGAGGCTATGATAAGTAGTACTCAAAAGGATGGTACAGTGGATTTAAAGTCCAAAGAGAGAATTAAATTGGTTACTTGGTGGAAATTGTAATGACTATGACCAACTGAGGAAGAGAAGATGAGAATAGATATGTGAAAAGAAAGGCAAACCACAAGGAAGGAGTATTTCCCAGGTCTGTAGTGCCCCTGAGGTCACTTGGCAAGTTTTTTTGTGATCTGTAAAGTAACTCATACTATCTGTACTCTTAAAGTGTGGGGTGGGGTATGAAAGAGTGTGGAGAAAAATAAGTCATGGCCTTGAAAACTCTTCTCTATAGCTAGAGTTATGAAATTTCCCCCAGTCTTTTCTAAACAGATACCGTAGTTTGAACCTTATTAAGGTTAAACACATGCCAACAACTCAACATTATGTTATTTATGATGTTAGATTATAACTTGAAGCCCGGTGCATGAAATTAGTGCGTGGAGGTGTGTTGTTACTGCTGTCCTTATTGCTATAAGGCCATATAACTGGGTGAGCTAAGAGAACACATGAGGAGAAGGGAGTAAATCTCTTCTTTTGGAGGAAAAAATCAGAGAAAGCTAATTATGTGCCCATGAACCTGAAGAACCAGTAAGAACTGCAGTAGAGGGTTGGGTGGGCCATGCACAGTGAGTGATCAGAGAAATGGCTCTGAGCTTTATGAAAATGGGCAACATACTCTGTTTTTACTTGAGTGCCTTTAAGCAGTCACATGTTGGAACTCCAAAAAACAATTCCTGCAATAAAGCTAAAAGCAATACTGCTTCTTCTCTCAAGCTATTTAAAAAAGAAAAAGAAAAAAGAAAAGAAATAATGACAAAATAAAACAAGACTTACAGTTGCCCACATCTCTTTGCTATTTTGACAAGTTCTCAAAAATGATTTACAATTTTAAAATCTAGGGTTTGACTTTGGTGAACATAGAAATTGTGCCATTCATGTTTTATAACCATACAAATTAGTGAGCCTTAAAGCAACTTACCCAAGTATTTAGGAATGTAGTTTCTCCAAATCAAAATGGGGAAGCTCAATGGATTCGAGATATATTTGCTGATTTATATGCATGCATCTAATACTGTTTATGTTATGTGATATGCTATTTGATTGTCCATTAAAAAAATCTTTATTGTTGGAGTATTACATATGTGCCCTTTATTTCCCCATTGACCCGTTCTAGCCTGTCCCCCCCTCCTACCCCAGGCCTTCACTACCCTATTGTCTGTGTCCATGAGTTATACATATATGCATACAAGTACTTTGGTTAAACTCTTCCCCCCCACCTACCCACTCTGCCTTCTCTGAGATTTATCTATTTGTTCCATGCTGCTATGTCTCTGGACCTATTTTGATCATCAATTTGTTTTGTTTATTAAATTCCACATGTGAGTTTGATCATGCAATACTTGTCTTCCTCTGACTGGCTTATTTCACTTAGCATAATACTCTCCAGGTCTCCATGTTGCCTCAAAGGGTAATAGTTCCTTCTTCTTTACAACCACTTAGTATATATTGTGTAACTGTACCACAGGTTTTTTTTTTTTTTTTTAATCTACTTATCTACTGATAAGCATCTGGGCTGTTTCCAGATCTTGGCTATTGTAAATTATGCTGCTAAGAATAGATTGGGTTAGTTTCTGGGGTTTCTTTTCTGTTACATTGATCTATATGCCTGTTCTTGTGCCAGTACCAGGCTGTTTTGGTTACAGTGGCTTTGTAGTATAGCTTGATATTTATATTGTGATCCTTCCAACTTTGTCCTTATTTCTGAAGATTGCTGCAACTGTTCATGGTATTTTTTAGTTCCATATAAATTTTGGAGTATTTGTTCTAGATCTGTGAAATATGCTATTGGTATGTTAATAGGGATTACATTGAAACTGTAGATTGCTTTGGATGGTATGGACATTTTAATGATGTTAATTCTACT